TAGAACTAGATGGAGTAACACTCTCGTCAACATAACCGAGTTGTAACGCTCTAGGATTTTCAACATCCCAAACTGAGACCATTACTAAAACTACCTAAAAATTTCACTTAAACAAGATAATTAACTTCAACAACGAAGGCTAAGTAAGAAAACCGTCATGCTTCCACTGTGCTACTCTGATTTAAACACCCACAAAAGCTTTAACAATTCCGCCAAAAAAAAAACAACACTAAAGGTTCAACCAAATCTGAGATTCTTGATAGTTAATAGTTTAATAGCCACCCGACCTTGTCCAAACTTCTCAACGAAACCTTTGCAAACCATAAACTATCCACTAAACGAAATTTAAACTCTCGAATGATAACGAAGTAAAATCTCACTTAAAAACAACTTGAATATAAGCAGTGAAAGTTATCCCTCAAAAGGATTTCAACCTCACAGTTCAATTAACCAAACAAAACCAATATTCTCAAAATGTAACGAACTGACTTTCTTTAAATAAGAAACTTAACAGACCAAATTACTAAATCAATAACAACTTCATTAAATGAAATAACTTCCACTATCCTATCTAAGAACAATAATTAGAAACAAAACTAAGCTACGCAACTAACGATCTTTCCGATCAAGTCTTCTCCTCGTCATCACCATTCCCGTGTATTATCTCGTTACCTGCAAAATCTGGGGAAAAAAGGAGGGGGTGAGTACAACCACTAGTACTCAGTAAGCATCTCTTACTCGAACGGTCATGCATAAATAACATACTTTTCAAAATAACATATATCATGCTCATTGAAAATAACATGTTATACATAAGTAAAACATAATCTTAACTTAAACATGCACCCCAATGCAAAAACTCAAGTATAACGCCATAAAACTTCCTAGAGCTCTCTAACTCCTTCTAAACTTTCCTATTCCTCCAAGATTTACTCTTTCGAGTCATGCCAACCCCTGTCCATTTTACCCAGAGCCTCGACACTACTCTATGGCGCTTGACGTTCAATCCTTAACCATTTTACCCAAGGCCTCAAACTGTTGCATCGATCATTGACTATTTTACCCACAGCCTCATGACTTGCAACGTATTGGCTCTTGACTGTTTCTACCTAAGGTCTCAATACTTGAAACTTTCCTATTTCTCCAAGACTTACTCTTTCGATTCATGCTGACCCCTGAACATTTTACCCAAAGCCTCGACACTACTCTATGGTGCTTGGTGTTCGACTCTTGACCATTTTATCCAAGGCCTTTGTTGCATCGACCCTTGACCATTTTACCCAAGGCCACGATGACTTCGAAACGTATTGGCCCTTAACTGTTTCTACCCAAGGTCCCAATACTTGCCTACCCACTAGTCCCATCGCATCGACCATCGACCATTTTACCCGAGGCCTCGACACTCATCTTATCCAAAAACTTGGCATATCAATCATCAACCATTTTTACCCAAAGCCTTGATACCCAATAGTGACGTGTCGGCCCCTTGGTCCCGATATTCACCCATTCACTTTAGCAGTACAGCTTTCACACACAAGTCCTGCAACAAGCTTTCTAATCCATGCCTCATGCATCAAACCACTCATACAAATCCAACATAAAACGTATGACACAATATTCAACTCATAATAGTCCAACATGTTTCCATAACCAGAATAGTTATATTTTACAAAGGAAAATTTACCCAACGATATGACCAACATATGCCCAACATGTTTCAACACAACAAGCTTCTCACAAATATTTAGTATGCTTTACATACACGACCAAGCAAGCGACAACGTATCTATTAATCTTTAAGAAGCACATCCAACAACAATACACAAACAATCTTAATTTCCAAAACTAAGATTTAAGTAAAATCTTTTTCCAAAATTATAAAACTTAATTTATCTAAATGCAATGAAAATAAACTTGACTCTGATTTATACAAAATTAAAACTCCAAAATAAGGAGTTCCAAGAATTTCACTTAACTAAAAAGGGAGGAATCCAAGGGCACAAGTTCAATCTTAGAAGAAAGTTAACCAAGTACGCGAGGCATTACAGGCTACCCACCTTAAAAAAACTTTCAAACCTCGCATAATTTAGGTTTCTATCATTTTGAAAAATTATATGAACATGGACCTGATTATTCCTCATTACATGTCTTTAGTTGTACTTGTTTTCTTCTTCGCTCACACATCGAGCACAATAAATTATCCTTTAAGTTGACCTTATGTGTTTTTTTGGGCTATGGTGTTGGTCAAAAGAGATATCGTTGTTTTGATCCAATTAATAAGAAATTGTACGTCTCTCATCATGTTGCGTTTTAAATCATATTTCTCCATTCCTATTAGTTCTCATCACTTGTCAGATTCAGATCGCATTCACCTTGATCCATTCAATATTGACACTAAAGAAGCTCCATCCACTACTCTAGCTGCCCCCACTAATAGCTCAACAACATCTGATACTTTGATTATTGACAGATCCACATATCTTTCTCCACTTCCTCTGGCTACTCAATCATTTCCTAAGGTTGCGGATGATCCTCCACTTCGTCAGTCCATTCTTATTCATAAGTCCACTAAACTACTAGATTTTGCATACTCCTCTTATTTTAGTTCTTTTGCTTCTTTTGTTACTTCAATTCATCATCTATTTGAACATTTATCTTTTAGAGGCTATTTGTGATCCACTTTCATCTATTTGAACATTTATCTTTTAGAGGCTATTTGTGATCCACTTTGGCAGGATACTATAGCTAAAGAACTTACCTACATCAGACTCATGCATGGGATTTGGTGTCATTACCTTTTGGAAAACGTACTGTTGGCTCTCATTAGGTCTATAAGATTCAAACTAAATGTGATGGATCTACTGAACGATACAAACCTCGATTTGCTACTAAAGGCTACTCCTGGGAGTATGGCATGAATTATGAAGAAATATTTGTTCTTGTTGCAAAAATGACGAATATTCACATTGTGATTGTAGTGGCATCTGTTCGCCGATGGAGAATATATCATATGGCTTTCAAGAATGTTTTTTTAAATGGTGACCTTCATGAAGAAGTTTGTATGACTCCTCCTCCTAGCGTTGCTCACAAACTTGATGAAGTTTGTAAGCTTCACAAAGCACGTTATGGGCTCAAATAAGCTCATCATTCTTGATTTGAGAAATTCTCCACAGTTGTTACATCACTTGGTTTTATCTATAGTCATCATGATTCTACAATTTTCATCAAATGTACAAGTGCAAGTCGTATTTTATTGTCATTATGTTGATGGCATGATCATTACTAATGACGATTATGATGGAATAGAATCTTTAAAGTCTAACCTATCTCATTGTTTTGCTATGAAATATTTGGGCATGATGCGCTACTTTCTCAATATTGAGGTTGCTTATTCTCCGAAAGGTTATCTTTTATCTCAGTAAAAGTATATAGCTGATTTGTTTGATTGTGCACGTCTCACTTAGAAAATGATTGTTGATACTCCTCTTGAGCCTAATGCCTGATATTCTCCATTGGATGGTGTTCCTTTGTCAGATTCCAAGTTATATTGTACTATTGTTTGGAGCTTGGTCTATCTTACTGTGACTCGTCCAGACATTACACACACTGTTCATGTGGTTAGTCAGTTTGTCACTGCTCCTACTTCTGTTCATGTTGTTCTTCGCATTCTCAAGTATCTTTGAGGCACCCAGTTTCAGAGTCTCTTATTTCCTTTCACGTCTTCTTTAGACTTGCATGCTTACTCTGATGCTGATAGAGTTGGTGATCCTACCGATCGCAAGTCAACCACTGGATTCTGTATTTTTCTTGGTGATTCACTTATTTCGTGGAAGAGTAAGAAATAGGATGTTATTTCTAAGTCTTCTACAAAAGTTGAGTATCGTGTCATGACCTCGACTACTTGGGAAATTGTTTGGTTACATTGGCTACTTGTAGATATATATAGGTGTTTATCTTTGTCATCCTACTCCCTTATATTACAATAACCAGAGTGCCAGTCAGATTGCACACAATTCGGTTTTTCATGAGCGAACCAAACATATTGAGATTGATTGTCATGTCATTCTATCATCTTAAGCATGGCTCTATTACATTGAGTTGTGTTTCTTCATCTCTATAAATTGCTGATATGTTTGGTAGATGAGTCTTTTCTTATTATTTAGGGTTAACGACTAATATAAGCACCATATTGTGTATTTCATTATATTCTATTGTTAATAAACAAATCCCTTTGTTTTATCTCCCTATGTCTTTACTCTCTTCCTTCCTATTGTTTTTTATATTTCTTCTTTCCTCTCGTTTTAGATATATTATCTTCTTGCTCTCATCCCTTCCTTTCTCTCATTCCAAGCAACCTATCCTTTGTCATTCTCTCTGACCCCTTCCTTTCATCAAGACTCAACAATGAACTTTTTCATCTTACTTTTCCCTCTTCACTTCAGTTTCAATCAAAACTGACTAACTAACAGCTTGGTTGGCTAATCGATTTCGTTGTTGCTTTTATAACTATTAACCATTGATCGACGGAAATCGAATGGTCATTTTCTAAGTCTATTTTGGTCTAAAAGTGATGTCAACCGACCAATGAACATGCCTACCATCAACATATGTCTCAAATGACCATGGCTGAAAAAGAAGGTTGGTCATTTGAGACTTCTAAGAGACATAGTTAACACGCCAACATGAACTTAGGTTAGTGATACTTTGCACTTATCTCTGACTAAAAGGTCATAAGTTTGAATCCCCCACCCTCATTTGTTGTACTTAAAAAAAAGTATAGTAGACACTATTTTTTTTCTAGTTTGAATGGAATTTGTGAAGAAGCGTGGTGAGACACCAAATTTTCCGCAAGCGTCAAAGTTTCGGGCAGCAATAGTAGGCAAGATCATAATGTTTTCCATGACTTATATCTCTAGAAAGAAGAAGAAAGAAAATATTGTTGGTAAGGGGAAAATTTTGCACAGTTATTTAATCTCTCGTTAGTGATATTGCAGCTCAGATACCATAAAATGGATTATAAATTAAAAAGAAACTTGATTGTGTTGAATCGGTAAAGACACCATCTAGGAACTGGGTTGATGGTGGTTCATAAGGTTTTTTTAGTACAACAAATTGGAATAATTGTGATTCATAAAGTTTAAATCCCCCCTAATATAACCTAAAACGAATAATCTTTAATCTATTACAAAAGAAAATAATCACAGCAATAAATACAAATTAATTGCACAAATATACAGATAACAATAACTCTTTATCCATATGGACATCAATAGACCAATATCTTCATATATTGACCTACCATTAGATGGTTCTCTCAAATAATTGAACATGAAACTAAGCAATTCTTCTCTAAGGATTTTTTTCTTTGGATGCGAGTTCTCTCCTCCTCTAGCTTGCAAATGGCATCTTGAGCCTGTAGATAATAAAGGAATTTTATGAATACACATTATAATATATTTGGCAGAATTATTTTCACAATTTAAGAGAAAGTTATAAACTATAGGTTTAAGTAATATTTTTCCCAACGTACTCTCCGTTCATTTTGATCATTATACTTTTATAAAGTGATCATTTTAGTCTCTTTATTTTCATTTTTATCAAATGTTGATCAAAATTTAAGAAGCATGACAACTCGTTCACTAAATTTATTTAAATGTAAACATAAATTTTTGTATTATAAAAGATATCGAATTGCGACACTTTTTAAAAAGTACAAGGACCCAAGACAAACATTTCGAAAGTACAACGGCTAAAAGGAATAAAAGTTAAAGTACAGATACTAAAATGAACATTTTTAACGTACAGGGATAAAAATAAATCAAGCAGAAAACACATGGACTAAAATAGTATTTAAACCTAGAATATAAGGCTTTGTCATTTTAATTATTATGCTCAAGAGTTGAGAAGGTTGAAGCAAAATTTGATGGAAGACTAACCTCATGGAGCTTTAATTCAAGTTCAGTGATGTTTAACTTCAACTTCTCAACATACTTATCATAATTACTTGGGTGATCTGAAACTCCGAGAGCCATCACTTCATTATTCAATGCTTCATAATATGGGGAATAATTGGATGCCCTAACAAGGGTTGGAATCAACTTCTTTTTTTCTATGTACTTTCTTTCATCTTCTCCAAACTGAAAGTAAAAAAGAAAAACAAACAAAACAATATCGCGGTCATGGTTTTACCTCTTAATTAACTCTGGTACCTTTGGATCAATGAGTCACCCATTCCCTCTTAATTAACTCATTTATCTTTTAATGTATTATTAGCATTCCCCTTGAATTGTGGGTCGTTACTAAATTCACAGCTGAACAATGTAGATCTCCAAAAATTTGAAGAAAAAAGGAGAAGAAAAAGAAGAATAACAAGGGCCTGTGTGGATGATAATCTAAATTCTGTTTCTTATTTTCAGATTTATTAAATCAAATTATTTGGATGAATATTCATTCGTGTTTGGCATATTTATTTTGAATTTTTTTTCGAATTTTGTGTTCCAAATAGTTGAAATTATGAAAACAATATTTTTAAGTCTTCATTGTTTCAAAATGCAAATTTACATTAAAAAAAATTAAAACTTTGATAAATATATTACATCGTATTATATACCTGTTTCATTTTTGCTAAAATTAAAACATGTAAAATATAATATATTATAAATTATATAACATTGTAAAATAATAATTATACAAAATTTATAACAAAAATGTTAACACATTAATTAATATTACTTTAGATTAAATTAAATATTTAGTTGGTAACTACTATTAGTTTATAAATATATTTTTAAACACAGATTAGAACAATTGTGCTTCAATGTCCAAATTTATTACGAAACACATGCTGAAAACACAAAAAACATACTATACAACTTGTATTTGGTTGAATTCCTTATTTTTAGATTTATATTTTTTGATCACCACATAAACGCACCCTAAGCCAAAATTTAAATTTAAAAACTAGAAAAGTATAAAGTTTCTAAAAACTTGTTTTTTTTTGTTTTGGAATTCAAATGTATTTTTACCAAAGGTAGAAAACTTACCAAATTTTGTTTAAGAAAGCAAGCACAATTTTAGAGAACAAAAAAATAAAATAATAATCGAAGAGAGTTGTAAAAATGCAAATTAAGAAATAAACCCTATTTAATCATCACTAACTCTAAAGTTCAAGTTGTTCGGCAAGGATAAAACAAAAGAGATGTAAATACTATCATAAACATTTTACCAAGTTAGAGGAAGTTATGTCCTCAACAGTTGTCTCGGCCGGAACTATTGTGCTTAGGATTAAGAACTTGTCTTTGCATATCATATCAGGTGGAGCCACCCCTTGTCCTTGCATTGTAACTACATCCAACATTTAATTTCATTGAAAATAATAAATTGAATTGAATTTTTTCGTACAAATCTAATAATCTATTTATACTGCTATTGTTACTAATCATAACAAGAATATGAAATCTAATTCAAATAATATAATTTAAAATAAATCTATTTCAAATAATGTCGAATTAAAATCTAATTATAATTCAAATAACATTATCTAGCCTCCCCTCCCAAATTCATAATACTAAAATATTAATGGAGGCCAGCTGATTATGGTAGTCATGATGAAATTGGTCGAAAAATTAAAAAACTAAATAGGGTGAGTTTGTTAAATAAGATCAAAACTAAAACTAAACCAAAGCCAAAATCAAAACCAATGTTGTAAAAGCTAAAGAATGTCATACAAACTACACCATGCCAATGAACAATCATGTCAATACCAATGACAATGTCAATGCCAATTCCAACGACAATTATAAATGTTAATTCCAATTCCAATTCTAACCATGTTCACTAAAACGAAAAACCATTCAAACCGAAAATGGAAATGTAATTCCATTCTTTCAAATAATATCACCAACTCGAAACCACGTGCAACACACAACCAATAAACTGAAAACGTGATTGTCCAGCAAATCGTGATTTTTACCCCACACAAAGTTAATCAATCTTCACGGCAAACAAATATAATCCATCAAGATCCCTAAAATACTGCAAACAATTTGATCTTCTTTCTCCTCCATATTGACGTCCACATCAGTGAAAATTCACCAAAAACAACCCACCGTGATCTAAATCACAAACCAACTCTCAAAAGAAGCAATCTCAATTCCCACATAATCCACGAAAACTATAAAAACCACAATCCACAATGCCAAGCATATCCAAAGCAACGCAAATTATGAACTATATTGCAAATTACGAATTATTGCAACGCAAACTCAAAGCCACGCAAAACCAAGCAAATCCAACCAGCTGCACTATTAATATTGCAAATTGAACAAAATATTGCTTTACGAATACCCAACCACGCAGCCGCAAACCCAATGCAAGTCAACACAGAAACATGACAGACCCCAAACAACACATCTTCAGCACCACTAAATAATAGGAAAATCAATTCGAAATCAAAACTTAGAGGCCTCCATCAAATGCCCAAATTTCCAAGCTATACTCCATGTCTCCATGTGTTAAGTACAACGGTACCCTAAATACACAACGTATCTTCACAATAGTATGATATTGTCCGCTTTGGGGCCCGCACGGTTTTGCTTTTCGTTTCACCCAAAAGGCCTCATACAAATGAAGATAATTGTCTTCCCTTATATACCCACACCGTTCACTTCCCTAACCAATGTGGAACTTGTTGGGATTGGTGGAGTCAAAACGACGCCGGAACGAGCTAGGGAAGAGTTGGGATCAAGCCAGGATGCGTCAGGATCGAAGCAGGATCAAAACAGGGGAGAAGCGGAAGCTGCAGGCCACTTGGGCCGAGGAGGCAGCGGCGCGGCTCTAGGGGACAGCGCCACGGCGCCGTCCAGATGGGGGCGCAACACGGACTTTCCATCTGTAGTGCATGACGCTGTTTCAATGTCTATATAAGTGCAGTTTCGGGTTTTGGGTTTTTTAGTTGAAAGGGGGTTTCGTCCAGCCGATTTGGAGCTGTTTTTCAGACGATTTCGTGGCAGTTTCAAGGGGAAGGCTCGGGCATTGGCAAAGGCATTGAGGCTCATCAAGATCAACACATTCGGGATAATTAGATCTTGATTATTGTGAGTTTTTCATTCATGTTCCTAAGTATTAATTGTGTAAAATACTTAGAAGCTAGGGGGCTTTTATTGAGACCTCTAGAGGATATTTTGGGGAGTGTTATTGTATCCAATCCTAAACAATATTATTGAATTACCCACATCTGAGTGGAAGACTGGACGTAGCCCTTAGTGGTGAACCAGTCAATTTGCTGTGTCGTATTCTTGTTCTTTACTGTTTTCTTCCTATTTGCATATTTGTGGTTGTGTTGGATATTTTCTGTGGAAGGGGAAATTATTCAGGTTAATCAATTTTCCAACAAGTGGTATCAGAACTGTAAGGTTGCAGCATCATAAGTGACAGATATCAAGCACACCATTATTATGAAGGGGTCCTGAAGTTTAGTGGGGAGAATTTCCGTTTTTGGATGATGCAGGTAAAGGATCTTCTTACATGCAAGAAGATACACAAGAATTTAGGGGAGAGACCAGTAGGGATGGAGGACAAGGATTGGAATGAGATGGATGAGCAGGCCGTTGCGAGCATCAGAATGGTGTTATCAATGAATGTTTGTAGTTTGGTGGCGAAAGAGATTACAACGAAAGATTTGTTGAAGGTCTTGCAAGACAGGTATGAAAAACCTTCTGCCAATACAAAAATACTTCTATGGACAAAGTATTTTAATATCCACATGGAGGAGGGAACCTCGGTGAATTCCCACATTAATGAACTCACCGATATCTTGAACAAACTAGAAGGGATGGGTGTCAAGATTGACGAGAAGGTGAAAGCTATGAGGCTGTTGACGTCTTTGCTTAACAGTTGGGAGACGATGAAGACCGCGGTGTCGAATTCGCTAGGAGAAAATAGCTTGAAATTTACAACTATTTGTGATGCCGCCATATATGAGGAAGCCCGGAGAAAATTAGGGAAAATGTATGCATCTACTTCAGGGGCAGAAAACGAGGTTGAATCAGCTTTGGTAGCTCAAAACAAAGAGAAGGCAAAGATGAGTTACAATGGGAAGCAGCAGCAGAGATATAGCAGGGGTAGTGGGAGTTCTAGTGGAGAAGTGGAGTGTTTTTACTGCCACAAGAAGGGATACATTAAACGCTTTTGCAGGAAGTTTAAAGAAGATGTTGAGAAGGGGAACACTATTGTAAATGTTGTAACAGAAGGAGAACGGATTGAAGAGTTTCGGGCTTGTGTTCAGAGGAGCATATTTGTAGACTAGTGGGTTATGGACACTATAGCATCAGCGCAAGTTGCTTCAGACAAACGTTGGTTCTCATATTTTACTGCAGGTGATTATGGCTCAGTGAGGATGGGGAATGAGAGTATCTCCAAGGTGACAGGAATTGGAGATGTTTGTTTGAAGATAGGCGAAGGGGTCGAGTTGGTGCTACGAGGTGTCAGGTATATTCTTAGCTTCATATTTAATTTGTTATCCACAGGGAAGCTAGATGATGATGGCTACAACAGTGAGTTTAATGGGAGTTGCTGGAAGCTCAAGAGGGAATCTAGGGTGGTGGCAACGGGCCACAAGAGATCTTCTGTTTATGTGTCAGAATTTGATGTTGCCAAGGGTTCACTGAGACATACGATGCACAGAGTAGCTGCAGATGGTTCAGGGCGAGACCTTAGATGACCAGCAGCAATGATGGCTAGAACAGATCAAAAGAATCTGCCATCAGCTCAAGTTAAACGACTAAGAAGTACAGAAAAGGGAAACGAGAATTTGATAGGCCATCGAGTTCATATCTCAACTGTCAGACATTCAGGCAAGTTGGTCAAGTTGCATAGGCGAATTAGTGCATTGAAGGGTACATGATCTATTTTTAGTGTGGCGACAGACTTGGGTGGGAGCGCCAAGTCATCAGGGGAATCTTCCTTAGGAGGTCGTTGGGTTCGATCGAGAAAGGAAGCGACAGGGACCACTTAGATCAAATGGGAGCACGTGGCTATGTCTCTAAGTTTGGGGGACAAGACCACGTAGAGCTGCTCAGTCTCGGGGCAGAGTCAGACGATGCTTAGGTAGGGCCAAGCAGTGTTGATCAGTTTGTTGATAGAGAAGTCAGAATTGTGCCTTGACAGAGGGTGTCAAGAAGTTGATGGGGCACTGTTGATGCAGTGGGAGGCAGAGAATTGTCGCTTTGTCTCCAAGTGGGAGATTGTTGGGATTATGGAGCCAAAACAGGAAACCTATATCCTATTAAGAAAAGGATTTTTCAACACCATTACCAATTC